CTGTCCATGAATACTAAATAAAACCCTACAGGGAGGGAGGGAGGGAGGGAAATGATTGCTAGTGCAATAAAAGTGAATGTTGCTACTGCAATACCAAGTGAGAATGTGACTAAACTAGAATTGTATCCGTCTGTAACCCATATTACAGTCGTGGTATTCCTATCTACCGTAAAACTGCTATATCCTAGGTAGTAGACACATGGTATTATGAAATCTCTCATGCCAAAAACCTACTGTGATGCTGTACTAGCCCTGCATCCCAAAGTGACACCTCCCTTTGAGATTTAAAACCGCATCAGTCGTCTCAACTGATGCACCCCCTTAATAACAATAATTTAAAGGAACAAATTTTTTTAAAAAACATAGAGATATAAATATAATATTTTCTTGTCTTGTGAAAAACCATTCTATTAAATATTTTGACACAAACAAGCACATCTATTTCATTTGTAAAAGCTGTTTTTCAAAATACAATTGTCAAATTATGTTTACGTCCTCTCAGTGACTATTTACCTCATAGTCTCTTGTTAACAGCTATTAGAACACGAATACGTCCACTTACATTATTTTCATCCGCAATGGGGTTTTGCAATTTGCGATAAGCAAAGACAGAACTTCGTTAATGACTGCTTACGACTCTTCGCGAGTGCAGTTTCTACAAATTTTATTTATTTCTTTGACCTTCGCATATTTCCAACATGTCTGACGATTCAATATACTGGAAATTTATATACAGCAAGAATAATTAGCATTAAGATTATCATTATCAATCCTTCGATCGAAATTAGATTTTAGTGCGTATGGTATTGCGCCCGAAGTAGAATAGAACAGACTTCTGCAGGTCGAAGTTGTGCTCCCAGAAATTACCCCAAACAGGACTTCTTAAAACGTTTCCACTTAAAATGTATCGCGGTATTTAAATTCCCTTCCAATTCGATTGGAGTCAGGTCTCTTGAAATATTATCAGAAATCCACGGGTGTTTACAGAAAGCGTTCTCGATCATTAACAGATCGATATTCGTAAATCGAACGCTATGACGCATAAAATAATCTCGGCTCCGTATTGCTGTTACTTTTCTTCAAGGTACATTCCACCCAAAGCACTCGACAGCTATTTGCTTCGAAGTTTCCCTGTTCGACATTTCTGTCGAGCTTAGTCCTTTCGCGGTCAAGTCAATGTTTTGGTTGAGCTCTGAGCCAATCAGATTGCAGGAAATTACATATCCAGATCTGGTTGTGGCCCGGACTGTTCCAATTTTATTTCATTTTATTTAGTTAGGCGTCTTGCGTGATGGCAAACCCGTTGCAAGACTACAGATTTTTGAATAAAGGTTGAATAAAGGTACCCCTTTAGTCTGGGGAGGACTCGGCCTCACCCTCCCCCCCGGCATACTTTCCTTTCTAACTTGAATGGACTTTGCTCGTCAGTTGCTCATTAGTTAAGTTTTGTCAATTGTTCGCTATGAAACTCAACGTTAGTGAAGCATAAATTTTTGTCTGAACGACAACTGCAAGGATTGATCAACAAAAAAATACTTCGGTTGCCGTATTTTGACTCAATAGTGGCCAAAACCAGCCTTTATCATTATAAAGCAATTCTGCTGGCAATTCGGCTTCCAGGAGACAAATAATCACAGTTTTTTGACATACAAATAATATGCCCCTCGAGCGTTATAATTGGGCGTCGCGCGTACAGTGGCGGACTCAATCCCCACTGCTCAAAAATGTGGATTGTTTTTACCACTAACTGTAGGAATATGTAGTGCTTGATAGACGTAGGCAATTGCTTGTCAATTATTCAGAAGTGATTGTTTTAACAACAATGTAAGCAAACGATCATGCGGCGAGTTTAAGCGGAATTTGTTATTAATTGTATTATTTTTTTGTTATCGTATTAAAGCATCTCTGGCAGAGCAATGTGCTGCCTAGTCCCTAGACTTCAAAAGAATGTTCCTATTTAAATCTGTTGTTGGTAGACCTAATTGATCCCTCCGTCCTTGTCGTACACGATTCTCTATTCCATTAAAGAAATCAGGCGTTGGAATCATGTTCGAGTTATTGAGGCTGTCTATGGCTATAACAGATAGCTTTATATCATGTCGAGATAAAAAGTACTCGGCCCTCGTACGAACACCTGCATGTTCAAGATCGACGCGGCGCTCGATCCGTTAATGAAACCGCTACGAAATCACCTTTCTGATGTGTTCATTAAAAACCTTTCCGATATGGCTGGTACAGGCACTGAAGACTGAGATATCCGGTATAGCACAGACATACCCTCATTAGGTAACGTAGGGCGGAGTGAATATGACGTCTTCATGACCTTCGTATGAGAATTTTAGCCCAGAAAACCCGGCGAAATCACTATATTTAATGCTTTTGTCAGTGTATATAACTTGTCTCATGACTCATTGTCATGACGTATTGACGTAGGCCCCACATTTTCACTTACCAATGGGATCATCTTTGCCTTCGCAAACCTTTCCCTGCGTTCCCTTCTGCTGAGCTAACATCACTGCTAGTACAATTAAGACGATCACCAGCGAGACAAACGCAAGCAGAATAAGCAATGCTTTTGCTCGGCTCATGAAGTATCCAGGCATTTCCTTGAGCCTGTATACTGGGTGGTATTCCATGTCCTTGGTGAGCATGTTGCAGGGTTGGACCTCAGATTTAACAGAGCCCACAAAGAATCCGTGACCGGCAAAACTAGAATTACGTGTGTTCAGTTATCAATGACCTCGTGATAAGTGGTCACGGGTGAACAAGTGGTCAGAAAGATGCACACTTACTGTTATTTATTTTCTTTTAATGCGCCTTTCCATCGTTTTGAACAGGTTTTTTTTTTCAATATCCTGTTCCAAAGGTAGTAGTGCAGTCGTGCAGTAAAAAGGGACGCAAAAATGTGTGGGGGCTGGGGAGAGAGAGGGCAACAGCAGCAGCAGCGGCAGTAACACAGTTTTGTGACTGATCGATCTGGAGACCAGCCTCTTTCGGCAAGTTGTGAGTGTTGTCAGTTTGCGGAAAGCTCGAGCAGGCAGTAAGGAAAAAGGGGAGGGAGAGGGTCGCTAGTTTTTCACCGCACTTCTCCCAGGAAGCTTTCCACGGGCTATCCTCTCCTGAAAAATGTTCGGTCTTCGGCTTTAGCCAAAACCCGTAAAAAGGACATAGAATCGGATCACGCCCTACAAAAGCAACATTAAACATTGATAATAGCCGTCTCTCCTCGATGGTGAGGAGGGTGGAGAGAGCTGTATTCGCAGGCTAAGAAAAGGAAAGTTAGCCTGTGTACAGACCCCGCCTCCCCTGAGGGGAGGGGGGTGTGTACACAGGCTAAGGAAAGTCATTATGAGTGGCAGATCTAGGGGACTTGCCCCCACCTTATTTTAGAGCCAAATTGAAGCCTGCAGTGCCACAGAAAAAATATTTCTGAGACCAGCCTCCCTCTTAACTTAGGGTTTGGATAAACGAGCTCCCTCTCACCTCACTTGACTGGATCTTAATCTGCTACTGACCGGATAAAGGGGGTGGCGGGAAGGCTTTTAAGAGAGGGGGATTATTTGAGAGGGGAGGCTTAATCGAGGATATGCGGTACTAGGTGTTGGCTCCTGTTACGAGCCAAATTAAGAAGTCAAAGATACAACAATCCAACTAATGGGAACCGTGCACGGCCTGCAGTGACGGATTCAGACCTTCAGATAAGTGAAGGGGGGAGGGGGGGTGGGGGCGGTCATCCAGACCCTGAGATAAGCGGGGGAGGGGGGCGGTCACAATAAAATCCGGCAGTACTAAAACACGGAATCCGGAATCCGGAAACGGAAACGGAAACGGAAACGGAAACGGAAACGGAATACAGAACCTGTGAAAGAAGGTTCCAAGCGATCGATTTTCAAAAAAATATTAGCAATGACAATAAAATTAAAAAACAGATTAAAAAAAAGACACAAATGAATAAATCAGCTGAGTAGAGGAGAGGAGACTGCTGTATCACTAGAGGAGTCGATTCCGGTGAAAAGGCGCTTGATACCACTATCGGCAATGAATGCAAATTCTCATGGGACAGCAAAGCGAGGAGAAAAACGTTACCGACAAAAACTAGTGCCTTAAGAAAAAGGTGAGTTATATGGAGACAGACTTCGTTTGAATCGTCAGAGGCGTCGTTTATATAACTGAAAGGCGTCGCCGTCAAGTTTTTCTTAGTGTCTTTTCTGGGTTGTCTTCAACAGTGTTCAGTTTTCTTTATCAAGACAACTTACTCAAGAGAACCATGGCATTGTGGAGTCCAAAGAGAAGAGAGAATTGTGCATGCATTTGCTTGATTCCGCAACCGATGACATCAAAATAATGCGCCATGTTTAATAAGCCTCTTCAACAAAAATACGGACGTCCACGTAAACTCGATTACCGGTACACCAGTATTCCATCAGTATTCAGCTTGGCGAAAAAGTTGAACTTATTGCTAAAACACCGGAACTGTGGTCACGTCACCGGTCGGTCATGTGTGGAGTATTCAGTTTGGGAACAATCACGTGGTGTGGTCTGAGGCTAACTACTACAAACTATTCTTGACAATTAGCTACAAAAGTAATACAGTATTTAACTGTATTATTCAACCCATGAACTCGTGAATAAAAATTACTCGAAAAATTACTTTCATCGGCCTTGCAGTGCGGTAACCCACACTACGGCAAACCTTTTAAAGACACAATAACAAGAATATATTTAGAGGAACTGCCAAGAAAACTAAGACAAATTCTCTTTGGATTGTACTAAATTGTGTAATGTGAAATTCTTTAATTTTCTATCATTGATATTTGATTTCGTATTCCGTTTCCGTTTCCGTTTCCGTTTCCGTTTCCGGATTCCATGTTTTGGTGCTGCCGGATTTTTAATAGGACTGAGTTTCGTTCAAAAACTCCGAACGTCCCAGAACGTATTAAGGCGCAAAACACTGCGGAACATGTAATCTCTTAGAAATATGTAATGTTTACTTGAAAAGATCTCGGCCAATGAATAGCTGAAAGGGCAAGCAAAACCGACTCGCGCGCGTGGCCTGATACGGAAGTGGAAATAATCCACGCGAGAACTTGAGCAAGATGGCGGTGAGTGAAGAGGTAGCTGAAAATTTGTCCGCATTGGACGCTAAAACCGTGGACGAGGGAACAGTTGTAGAGCTGTTAAGAAAAAGATATAACCGTGATGAGGTTTATGTAAGTAGATTTAATTTGCTTAGCCTCAGGTCTCTGAAATTCGTATGCAATATTTGTAATTCGATCGAATGACCTTTTTTTAATAGATAGACGTGAGTCAGGTAAAACGTTACTGACATGCGAACTTGTCCTTTTGCAGATGGCCATCGGAGATATCTTGCTGTTGGTGAATCCATTTAAACCTCTACCAATCTATGATCTTGAGGTAGACTCTAAGTACCTATATTGATATATTGATCGCTGTTTGGTGTTGAATACTTTAGCTTTTATTTTGGTGTTGAATACTTAGCTTTCAATAAGTGTGGTTCACACAGCTGATTTGTTTGCATTATTTATCAATGCGCGTTAGATATAATTATGCTTACACCTAAGTAAGGTCAAAACAAAACACACACTACTTTGCAGACTAACAACAGAGAGGCATCTACGATCAAAACTAGGACATTTTGGATGTTATTACGTTGAATCGCCTCTAATGCAAAATATGTTAAATTTTTGGAATGTTTCTGGGTTACGCTTGCTTGATTTCTGCTGCAATCAAAGCTGAGTTTCTTTACCAATGGAACTCATCGTCCCAATGTTGAAACAGCTGTGATTTATAACTGCATGATCGGTAATTGATTTTCAGCAAGTGTGGGAAAGGTTGGTTTTTTGTCATCAAGATTTTTGTTAACTGGTGTTGAGAGTCCTTGAGGCCCCTGCCGACTTGCCATGACTTGCATAATTTAAAACCATGAATACAATAATCGCTGACGTCACCTATTGATCATTGGCTCTTGAAACAAAAGGGTTTTTTGTTTCAGTGGCTGGAAGGAACATCTAAATAAAGGGTTGTTTGTAAACAGATATCCCTAACAGACATTTTGCTGAACAAATCAATGGTTGTTGAAGCATATAAAATATCCAAAGAGGAACTGAAATATTCCAGCGATAACCTCAACGGATTTGATACCTTGAGACTCTATCTCAACTTTATCTGATAGAGTCAGACTCTATCTACACTCTTTTTTTTTCTATAAGAATATTTTTTGTAAGAATATCGAGGCTGGAATTTGAGAAATTCTAAAAACACTTTAAGAATAAGCCCCAGGCTGAGATTTTGAAAATGATATAATTTTGTGTGGTGCAAATCTGTAAATACAGTACAATTATATGTTTTTAACTTATTCCTTTCTTTAAGCAGCAAAACTAGATAACAAAAGGAAAAAACTGCGCTAACTATAATTGATACCCCAGTATATTCTAAAACGGAAATGTCATGAGCTGTAATTTAAGAATAATACGAGAATATTTTCAGCCTGAAAGCTGCAGAAAAATATGAATATTCAGCCTGGGCTGGGAAAACAACATTCTTATTAAAAAAAAAGAGTATATCTGATAGAGTCAGACTAAACAATGGACTTATGATGACGTAAGACAATTTTTTCTGCTTATGAAATAAGGGTCTCTTCAACTTCTGACACAACTTACACATCTTGGAGTGTTTCTAATGGGTTCGACGGGGCTTATTCTCCTTGAAGTCCTTAAAAAGCACTGGAATTTAATTTCAGATTTCAAGGGTGCTTGAAAAGCCCGTGAAAAGAAGAATTATTTTTTTTTTAAATTTTTATTGTCAATTGCAAGGTACTTACTTACAATACTTACTTACAAACAATGTATGATACTTACGCTACTAACAGAACTATACTCTACTTACAAAAAAAAAAACTTATTTACAATGTGAGATACTTACGCTAGTAACAATACTATACTCTACTTACAATACAAAACTTGCAATACTTACTTACGATGAGATGCTTACACTACTAAAAGTACTATACTCCACGCTTTACATATATAAAACAGCTACTTGCACTACTTACATTACGGATTACATACGCTACAAAAACAGAAAAAAAGAAAAGGGGGTGGGAAGTATGGCAAATTTTAGTTAAGAATTTTTGCTGAAACTGCTTGAAATGGATGGGAAGTAATATAGGATTAAAGTCATTCAGGGATTGAGCGCAGATTTTAAAGTTGGGGACAGATTTTGCAAAACCTGCGCTGTTGCATGCTGCTTTGAATACTCCTTGAAAACTCAGTTTTTAGTGCTTGAATACTGCTTGAATACTCCTTGAATTGTATGTCCAAAAACCAGCATGGACTATGTTGTAACAATGAGTCAAGAAGTATCGCATGTACATTAATTCCTTCTTTCTGCAAAATAGTCATTATCCATCTAATTATTTATCAGTAAATTGCAATTAATCTCTGAGGGGATATGCTGCAAGTTTCAATAAAGAAAACAGATAATAAAACAATGCACACACAAAACACAGTCAATAAGTGACCACTGAGGTTTGCAAATCAGCCAGAAAAGTAAAAAAGCATTTGCAGAAGTTTGAGACTTTCAATCAAATCAATAGCTAAACTGTGGTAACAGTCCAATCGTGTGGGATTTTAAAGCATTAGGCCATTAATGGCCTGTTAAGGATAACTTGCTTCCTGCACATAGTAAAGGATATAGAGCTGGCTGATTTGCTTGCTGTTTGGTTTATTTTACAATATTCTAAAATTAAAATAAACATAACGATATGGGTGAGGATTATCGAACTGATGAGGTCAGGTAACGTTTTGTTTATTCCAGGTCATACAAGCTTATCAGCACTCTAAACCAGGCAAGCGACTTTCACCCCATGTATACAGAAAGTGCAAAGATATCCTTAGATCAATGCGGCACTCTTCTAAAAGTCAGTGCTGTGTGTTAACGGGTGACAGTGCTTCTGGAAAGACTGAAAGCCTTAAGCATATCCTGCTTTACATTATCAGTACTAGTATACCCACTCAACCAAGCTTGAAAGCAAAGTTTCAGCAGGTAAAGCTTTCCAACTTAAAATTTCTAAGAGTATCTGAATTCTTAGGTACCAGATGGTCAGAGGCCTCTGGTTTCAATTTTATTAATAGTTACAGATTTAGCCAAGGCCAAAAGCAAAGCTCTCGAGGCATCTTTAAATAGTTTTTTTAAAGCATTCGAAGGGATAACAAAGGCATAATAAATGCTTATCCTCTTCAAACGGATAACTGTTAGTGTCCGTTTTGCCTTTCACCGTCACAATTACTCCTCTGCATCCTACATTATCCTTGCTTTGTCATCTTCAGTACCTAATCTACCAACCAAACTTTAATTTCCCATGACTGTCCACGACTGATAATATTATACTCCATGACCTTCCAGGCCTGGAAAATGAAATTCTTAATTTCATGACTTTCCAGGTTTTCCATGACCTGTATGAACCCTGTTGTAATTCAGTAAACTCATACTTGCAGACAAGTTCGTCTCTCCTGGCAAAATAATATGAGTTGATTTTTAAATGCCTTTTATGCTATGGTTTTGAAAAGTGATACTACTGGTATGTGTAAAGAGAAAATTGATCTGAAAAGTCTGAAGCCAGTATGAGAAAAAAAAAAGTCCATGTAAATGATGGGAATGTATACCTTCCCAAAATCTCTAAATACTTGAAAAAAAGGAAATCAAATGACTTCGGAGATGAGAACATTAGAACTGAATATGGCTATTTTATTAGACACAAAAAAAGGTATTAAAGGTAAAGGCGCACATGGCCTAAAGTCCCAAATGGCTGGGGCTCATACCAGTTTCCGTAGCATGAATCATGCATAGGAGTATTATTTGCTACTCTTCCCTGGACGGGTTACTAGTCCATCACAGGGTTTAACCCCCCAGCAGAATGTCGCCGGTACCCATTTATACACCTGGGAGAAGAGAGACAAAGTGAAGTTAAGTTCCTTGTCTATAAAGGGAACAACACGACAGGCGAACCTGGGACCTCCAGATCCAGAGTTCGAGGTGTTAACCGCTCAGCCATTAATATGCCTCCACATATATTATACACGCATTGTTCTCCAAATCTAATCTTTATTGTGCACTGTCTTTATCTCAGGTTCAGTTTATATTGGAAGCTTTTGGTAATGCTGTAACTCCACAAAACCATAACTCAAGTCGGTTTGCATTGTACTATGAACTCTTCTTTTCTCCAGAACACAAATTATCTGGAGGTAATTAAGTTTTAAATTTTGGACCAGATATTTATTTCATAGCTGATATGATACAGATGGTAATAATAAGATACTATACCATAAGGTTCCAACATAAACAGTCTCCTGTAGCGAATATAAGTGACCCTATGAATGAAAGAAAGCGTCATTACATTAACTTAGTGGATGTTAGCAAATTTCAAAATTACTGAACCAGCCCCCTTCCTGAACAGATCGAAAGTTATGTAAGCAATCACCAGAAGCAATTTAGTTATACTTTTATCGAAAAATCTAAAAATAGAAATTAACGGAAATGGTTACATTAAAATAATCAAGACAAATGTTATGTGATACCAGACAAGTATTATTTTTATTACAGGTAAGGTTTACCACTACATGCTGGAAAAATCAAGAATTACTCGTCAGGAAAAGGTGCATAAATTCTGTAATTATGTTAATGTGCTGATTTGTGCCTTGCCGCCCAGAGGGGGTAGGGTCGAAGGAATGGCATTCTACCCCATTTGCTGTTGCTCTATAGGAATGATATTGGATGAAGTGAATCTACTGCAGTGTTCTTACAAGTAAATAATTACTTTTTTGGGAGTGTGTAAGACCTTTCACAGTCAAGTAAGAGCTGGGGCCACATTTAAAACATGTTTGCCAGTAATGATAATTTTAATATTCATACTGTAAGTAAAATAAAGGAGATGGCTTGTGTACATATTTGCAATACAGTTGGACATGTCTTACCCAAATTTGGTCTTCACAACGGCCACATTTTTAGTCCTAGCAAAGAAATACATTCATTTTTCTTTTAATGCAACAGTATTTGCAATGGCAACCCCTCTAAAATGGCCTGACTGTACCAGCTTACTGCATTCATGCAGGGAATTGTAGCTAAGGAAAAGTTATTATAGGCAGGCTGTTTGTGTAACTTAATAATCACGCTCAAAATTACCTCAAGTCTTTGTGTTCCTGCACAATATTAGCTTGTGGTATCAGCTATCTTTTAGCGGGTGAAATTTTCCAGCAACTGCGGTGCCTTCGTTACATCCCTGCCCAAGATGACCATTGTAGAGTTCAAGTTAGCCACGTGTATTATTCTTTTATCCTTCTCAATTCTCAGGGTGGCAAAAATTTTCATGTTTTCCACTATCTCCTGTATGGGATGGATGCCGATAAACTTCAGGAATATTGGTTATCTAGAGACTTCCCTCACAGGTAATAAAAGTAATTAGATATGTTGTAGCAAATTTTTTATCTCAGGTACTTTTTGTTTTTCTTTTCTTTTGGGGTATGGTAATGCATGCTAATAAAGTTGAAACAGAGAAAAAGGAAAATTAACCTGAGAAAAATTCTTTCAAATTTGGTCATCGGTAGCTGGTTATGGTGAATTATGCGTGTGCTTTTAGCCAATCAGAATTGGGGAAATATTTTGAATGAGTTATAATAATACTTAATTAACCAGTGAAATAGAACGTAGACTACTATGCAGCATCACACTCTAATTCATTGTTTTCTTGTTTACTTGTAACTACATTTAGCACTAATATTATTGTTAGATATTGTTCCACGGGTTAAGTAAGATCACTCTATCTCTAAGTAAGATCACTCTATACGCCGGTCCACATCAGCCTTTCGCTGCCTATTTATGTATCTTAACCTCTCTTATCCTGTCATGTCAGTTTTATAAAGAACTAGCATTTTCAATCTAAACCTTTTTTTGCCCAAACAACAAGGTACCTCCGCTATGATCCATCAGTACCTGCAGAAGACAATGCCAGCAAAGAAGTCAAAAGCACAAAGTATTCAAAGCTAATAAGCTACATGGAGTCCTTGGGCTTCTCAAATGAGGTAACTAATTCATTTTTTTGGGAACAATGTTAGCTTACTCTTCCACATGTAAACAAATGATTGGGATAAAAGGTGGCGGGGGGGGGGGGTCCTACGCACGTTTCACGGACATCACATTAAGGTAGAAATAATTCATCACGATGATTAAAATTCCGTGTTTACGTTTCACGGAAATTTCCGAGTTAAAAGGCATTATGTCACGGATTTTGATATCGTATTTTCACCTTGCGTGAAAATTAAACCCCTTAATCCCTTTTCAACCACAATTTTAAGTTGCTATTCAAGGGATCTAACTGTCATTTCTTGTAAGAATTGTTAATAAAAATCGCCTCGGCTATCAGGGAAGAAGGACTGTTTTCTTCCTTTCTAGCAAGACATCAGACTTGACAGAGACTAATTACAGCAGAACTACCTTCTAATCCTTAACATCCTTGGACAATCTAGTAAAATCTCTCGTCGGTACTGGTTGTTGTTGTTGAAAATTAACTCTCTTCGCGCATCCCCCAATATCACCCTTAGTAACCAGGCAAGTGAGAGAAGTGCGGCAAAATCGAAATTTAGTCAAGGTGTCGGCTGCTCGAGAAGTCTGGGATTTTAGCATTCATAGCCTGTGCACAGACCTATTTCTCTGTCTGATTAAAACTACCTTGGACCTAATTTAAATTGATTTTTTAAAGACGGTTATGACCGATGTGGCCATGTATGAGCTCAGATGATATTATTTGCAAATTCCTGAAATTCTCCGCAATGGTGGCCAAGAGAGTAATACTTAATGCACTCTGAAATTACTGATGACAGTGTTACTGTTTTAACGTAGGAAATCCAGAACGTAGTGAACTGTTTGGCATCAGTTCTTCATATTGGAAACATAGCATTTTTCCCAAGAAGTCCAGAAACAAATTTAGCAGTTATCAAAGACCCTCAGCCTGTTCGTTGTGGTAAGATGCATTCGCATGCGCCCTATATTTTTTGTGACACTGAGCTTTTCATGTTGTCAGATTAAATTATGTCGCAATTGAAAAAAAAATATATTTCAAGCTATCCGTTTGGTTTTCAAAACGCTTTAGGGAAAAATCGAATTAGTCTATGTGGACGTCAACAAGAATGATTGTAGCCAAATATAAGAAATCAATTACAAAATTTATGATAAAAAGGTCGCTCTCGGGTTAAAGTACCCATGACCTCTAAAATGTTTTATTATGTGGACTGAAAGAACACATTTCTACAAGAACTTCTTTCGGAAAAAGTTTGCACTTAAACAGGAGGGTATTTTTTAAATAAGTTTTTAAAATCTAAATTTTCCTTGGCACACTTAGCCTGGGAAAACGTCCGTTTCTCGTCGCTCTTCGTCGCTGGGGACATTTCGCGAAACGTCCCCATTGTTGCTACCCTGGGTGCCAGAGACTTTTCTAGCGCGGTTTCCGGTTTCTGTCAAGTCTTTATAGTTTTTCTCGCGGCTTCGGCCAACAACGAAAATTCCCACCGCACGCGCGAAAAACCTCTGGTACCCAGGGTACATTGTTGCAACTTAATGTGACATATCGTACTGGCATGTTCCAGTTTGTGAATTGGAAGCCGAATATTTCTAGAACTGGACACTTACTTATACTTGTATCTAAAGTCATGTGTTCCTTGATTTACGTCAAAGTTCCTTTGTTTTCGAGTGGTTTCCGAGAGAAGACTAACACTTGGTGTGCCAAAATGGCAGCCAATTTGAACGCGGTTCAAAATAATGGTAATAGTAATAATAAAACGGGCCTGATGTGAGTGAAGAAAAGAGTTCCACAAAAAATGGTCTCCAGGTGACCTCCTGGCATACATGCTTTTCGAAATTAAAAAAAATGTTCAAGTTAATTTTTAAATTTGACGTTATTATTCGTTTGAAGAGTCAATTTGATATAGAGTCACGCCACAAAGAAGTCCTATTACAGTTTTCGATGCCAAAGCATACAAGTAGAGGTGCACTATTTCGGCTATAACAGCATTTGCTACTTTATTTTCCTTCCAGCTGGAGCACTTCTTGGTGTATCTGAGGAAATACTTGGAGCAGCCCTAATTACTGGAACGGCTTATCGTAAAGGTAGTATAAACAATTCTTTTTATACTTCAATAATTGTCACATCAAGATATGATTAAATACCCTCGCGTTGTAATACCTGCGCCTTGCCGTGAAACGGCAAACGTGAATTTGTACCACGTGACCACGTGACCAAGTTTCCCCTTTCTACACATACATTCTACACATACATTAGTAGTTTCGCGCAATTTTTTAGTCATAAGAATTGTTTTGAGCAGTATTTATATGCCGTTCATTTTCTGTTTTGAGAAATTCTCAACTTGAATCTAAGATATGGTCCAAATATTAATGACGAAGCGAAAGGTTTAATCTGTATTGGCAAGTCAATTTGCGTGGTCAAGAGAAGCTATAGAACACGCTTGGTGCATTGTGCAAACCACGTAGTAAAGTTCATTATCATCATCATCCGACATCGCTACGCATTATCGTTACGGTTTTAAATTAAGTTACTTGATCTGCTTTTGCGCTCGGTTGCATCGGATATCCGGGCTAGCGGGGAGTAATATAGGTGTTAGGTCTATGACCTATGATTTTTTTTTCATTTTTGTCAATGTTTGGTTTAAAGGAGAGAAAGTTTCAGTTCAAAAGACTGTCGAATCAGCAACAGAAGGACGAGACAACCTGGCAAAATCACTGTACAGTCGTTTGTTCAGTTGGATAGTATTGAAGGTCAACAGCTCCCTGAAGGAAAACAGAGAAGACTTGAACAGGTAAACACATTGCAAATTAATCTAGAAAGAACAGAAAGGAGAGTTCATTAGTCAAAGTTGGGACTGACGGTCAGTGTGTTTAGCAGTTCGTCAGTTCCGTTTCTTTTTGACCAAGCGGGAGAAGAGAGGGAGACGAGCAAATTAAGGCATGGGGTGAATGAAGCGACTGGAGGGCCCGGGGGCGAGGGAGGGTACTGCCATATATGGGCTATATAGGTATGTGCCGCTGTGAAGGGTATGGTTTTCAAGCAGTGTACTCTGAGATAGGGTTTATAAATCAGAGAGTTTAGGTCTAGAGTAGGGTATCATTTCCCTCCCCCCCTCCCCCGGGTTGGAGGGGTCCACTCTGAAGCTTTCCAGTGCGAGAAAGATAGCTTCGTTAAATGAATTGACTATTATCAATGTGAAGCTACGTTCCCTCATACTTCTGCCACGGAAAATCAAACTCGGTTGATCGTTGTTCCCATTTTTCGTTCGTTGTTCTTTGGCTATGCTTGGCCGGATTGAAAAGATGTGCTTTTTCATTTTGTCTTGTGTACAGTGGTTGTGTTGGAGATGAATCTTAGTGTATTTCCCTTTTGTATTTGAGTGCCCTTGTTCTCTCCGAAACCCTGAAATCAGAATCATGGTAATAGCGTTACGATGGTGTCTTTTCAGGCAAAGTTCAGGTCCTTCACTGGGATTGCTAGATGTCTTTGGATTTGAAAGAATGGACGTTAATTTTCTCGAACAGTTGAGCATAAACACTGCAAACGAGCAGCTGACGTATTTTTACAACCAACGTTTGTTTGCTTGGGAACAGGTACTCATGGTTTTATATTTGTAGCAGAGTGACCAATCGCAAACAACGCTATGAAATTAAAATGAGCCAATGAGGTGTGGCCTTTTCAAGCGCAATAAAATGGTTACAATAGTTGAGAAAATTTCGTGGTATTTTCAAGGTTAGACTATGAGCATGCGTAGAAGCAATATATGCAACCACGAAAATTATTTTCCATACTTGCACTCCAGAAAGACGTCATTTCAGCATTTTGTGCGTTTTATGTATCTTAGCAATGCGGGATGAAACGAAACAACCAGAAACGTATACAACTAAAAAAAAATGGAGTAAAAGAATTATCGTTATTATGTTCGTAGCCAGGCTTGTTAAGAGTTCCTTCAGACCTAGATTACACTGAACATTAATAACTATTGTGCAAGTACTTGAACATTATTAAATGTGCTGTTTTATTGACGTTTTTTTATAGGCTGAGCTTGAAGCAGAAGGCTTGCATGGTATTAAGATGCCTTACCTTGATAACAAGAAAACTGTGGAACTTCTGCTTAACGTGAGTTCATGAATTAAAATCTTTGAAAGAATTCGTAGGTTATGGTGAAATCGCTATTGCGCTGTTCAGTTATCGGAAGCAAGACAACTGTGAAAATTTGAAAATTATGTGAAGCTTTGACTTACTAAATAATGTACAGTAAAGCAAGCAACAAAAACGTGCAACTTGTTTTGCAGCATTGCTACAAAACGAGTCGAAAAGCGATGTTGCGCGTTTTACTAGCCACGTACGTTCAAACCCGTCTTGTAATAAATCACCTTGTAGGCTGCGAAAATTTGTTGCAGAAAGTAGAGAGTAGTTGTACTTTTTTCAACAAAACCTGTACATGTTGCGCGATTAACAGGTACAACGCAAACACATGTAAGTGACGTAACTCCCGCGTAATTTTATCCAATCAGAAGTCAGTATCCACGCATCTTGTAACAACCTGATTTGTTGCAAAACAGGTTTGATTCGTGGGTGGTAAAACGCGCAACATGGGTATTTAACTCGTTTTGCAGCAATGTTTCGAAACAAGTTGCAAGTTTTTGTTGCCCGTTTAATGAGATGGGGTCTTCCTTGTACTATTAATGATAATGCGTAAAGTAGAAACCAACTTGTAAACACTAAAACTGTATTGGTGCTCAGAATCTCTTGTTTTCAACACAAACTCTAGTAATTTGCAAAAGTTTCAAAGATACCCGGCGTTATTCAATAAAACAAAAACGATGATAAAGCGTTGTCGAAGAGTGTTGACCGCATAGACGACCGTCGACAGCAGAGTTGATCCGCTAAGTCTGTGAAGGAATGATTGCGTTTTGTGTTAAATGGATTTTAAGCAACAAAATCTGTTTGCACGTTTTACTGGCCCAACCGCAAACCCAGTGTCTTCCAACAAGTGACGTAAATCACATTTATAGCACGATTCCCGCGTAATTTTATCCAATTAGAAGTCAGTATTCACGCAATTTGCAACAAGCTGATTTGTTGCGAAACGGGTTTGATTCAGGTTTGATAGTTGGTGGTAAAACGCGCAACTTCGCTTGTCAAGTCGTTTTGCAGCGATGTAGCAAAACAAGTTGCACGTTCTTGTTGCCCGTTTTACCGTAGCTTTAGCACAGTGGGTTTCGGGACGCTCGTCTTGGGTATGTTTGAACCTCTTTCCTTTTTTTCTAGCCACCTAATGGATTGTTACCATTACTGGACGATGAGAGCAAATCCTTACAGGCCACCGATGCAGGATATGTAAAGAAGTGTGATACTATTCACAAAAAACACCCCAGCTATGCCGCACCTAAATTAGACTATCCTGGCTTTACCATTCGACACTATAGAAGTCAGGTTAGTAAATGTGGAACTAAGTCAAGAATGACAAGGGGTTAGTGCCTATGGGAAAAGTGTGACATTATCCTGAGTTTGTCAGACTTTTCCACACTTCCACACCTCTGAGAAGTGTGGAACTAAGGATGAAAAAGGAAAGTAGGGATCTTGTGGCCAGCACTGGACATTTGTGTCGCGACCGGCGGCGCGCGTTTTTGTTTGGTCTAATTCATCACTTATCAAGCTTACGCCACCGCAGCCACTGTTTAAGTTTTTTTTTTTTCACTTTCAGGTGACTTACGTAGCTTTAGGACTCCTCAACCATAACCGAGATTTGGTCGGTAACTCCGTTCTCGACTGCTTACGAGGTAAGGCATCGTTATTTTTTCTCACACAGTTTAAGCTTAACATTGTTTATCATCTTGTAATGCCGAGTTAACTTTCGCAAAGACTATCTAGGGTCATAACTGAGGACGCGCCGGTCAGCTATTGGCCAATTTTTTCCTTGCCACCTGTAAAAGTTAACTCGTCCCAGGCTCCTTCTCGTAGCTTAGGCCTCTTCCATACGAATCCGCGGCGGGATATTTTTGAAACCGCATATTTTTTAGTCCATTGCACGAGTGAGCGGATTCGCACTGGTTTCGTCAGTTTCGGCAGAAGGCCAATTTGTATAAAAAATATTTGGTTTCAAAAATATCCGGATTCACACTGTGGTCGAGGCCTCTTTTAATTAAGTTGGTGTCAGACTACTTTGTAGGGTATTAATTATCCGCCTAATGTTGTCTGGAATTCCGTTTGCATGTGCCACACTTGTAAAATTCTTAAATCTCCTTTCTCCTGATCTTCTGATTCAAATTCTTAGTAAAAAAAAAAATATTTCCCCCTTTAGGTAGCGAAAGTGAATTCATCAGCAGACTGTTTTCCGCTAAGTTGTCTGGAACAGGTTCTCTTGCATTGCAACCTGAAAGGTATGGAGGGAAATTTACTCACGTTCATCTCAGCCTGGTGCCGTTTTTTGCCCTTGCACCTGCGAACTGTTTCTTATATCTGTGTTCTGTTCCCTTTAGGTTGCTGTTGCCAGATATTTTGATGCAAAATAAAACGAATATGAAAAGGCAAGTGAAGTCAGAAGCATATAACCCCGAATTCGGGGTTATATGCTTCTGGTGAAGTGCATAGATTTATAGCGAATCGCGTGCACTGCATAGTAAGTGGTTAAGTTACTTCTCTACCAACGCGACTCGTACATGGCTTTTAATTATTTTTGTTTGTTTCGCAGGAGACCGACCATAAGACATAAAACTGCTGTGTAAGTATAAAAACGATAACTCTGTTGCTACAATGGAGATCAAAAGTCTTGGGACACTAAACACGAGAAGACTTAAACTGACCCCCTTTTCCCTTCACCCCAAAGCAATGTTGTATTTTATTCACCCTGTACGCTTTACCCTGTCCCTTAAAAGTGGAGGGGAGGGGAGGGGAGGGGAGGGGAGGGCCATTAGAGACATCTGAACTATTGCGAAAGTGGATCTTTGGCTACATTTGCGTATTTGATATGTTTCCGGTGTTGAAGGAAGGTTTTAATAACTGCCCTAAGGATGTTTGGCCTCCGTTGTACTTTTTCAGCGCAGAATACAGTTACTTTGAAATATCGGGCAAAATAAATCTGCTTTAAATTATTGTACTGAGATCGGTGCTACTTTCTAAAGCAATGCCATTGTTTCTTCCCCCACCCCCTCCAAAAAAGGGAGTTACCCTGAGGTTTGTTAGTTTTGACGAGTTGTACCATTTATGGCATTTTCGAGTCAGTGGACCAATATTTAGTGCCCGGTAAGAAAAGATGTCGACGTCTGCCAGGCAGTTTTACCTTCTCCTCTCCTAAAACCCTAAAAAAAGAAGGTTTGTTTCACAAGGCGATTTTCAAATAATATTCTTCCGCTATTGAGTTACTTTCGCTGCTCCACTTTCTGATTGGCTGAAAGCTACTTGCCCCTCTATGTCAACCTATCACAAGCTCAAACTAGAACCAACGCGTATTTGCTTCGATATCTAATTGGTTTATTTGACGCATATTTTGATTGGTTATAGCTAAAATACTTTGGTTTTGAATATCGTAACTCTCGCGCAAATGAAATTCGCTCTTTTACGTACTCTTTTTTCATGCAGTGTGCAACATTTGGCGAGTAAAAAGAAGGCGCAAGGTACCACTACCAGTTTCCTGACGATCGCAACGCGGTTAAGGGTAAGTGTATTCTGTGACGTGAAGTCTGAGTGATGCCTTTATTTATAGTGGGTAACACTTGACAGTTGTGATCTAAACATGTGGCCCTCGAGAGAGGGCATTGATTCTTTCAGCCTTTCATCTCATTTTTTCATAATTATGCCTTCTGGCAGATCTGAATACAAACTATTCACGTCGGGACTTACTTATCAATTCCCCATTCCGGAAACTACAAGGCAATTGGGTACAAGCCTTTGGCGCAACGATTTTTGGGATCATTTATGTAGACAAGCGTTACTTGTGATTGGTCAATGGATGCCTTGAATACTGTCGACCAACGATTCCAGAAATCACTGCGCCTAATGCTTGTACCATTCTCCCTAAAGTATTTGTAGTGTGGGGAATAATGGTAACGGTTCACTTCAACAAAAGACACTTACCACTGAAAACAACGGGCACTGCCCTTAGGATAAAGCCCCGGTAAAACAAAATTTAGGCGAGGTAAACACAGAACTCAGCAGCTGAGCACAGATTATGTAAGTTAGATCAGAATGAACCATTTGAAATCGGCGTTGCAGTAACTCTGATGAAAACTGACATGATCTATTCTCTTGCAGAAATCTATCGCAGAACTTATGGAGAAGGTTTTGTCCTGTGATGTTCATTTTATCAGGTTTGTACGTATGGTATCACGAGTTTAAGCTGTAGAAGACAGATTTTACGTAAAATTCTTGACAATTTTAACTCTTTTGTTCCGCCCATGAAATCAGGTGTATCAAGCCTAACCGGGAGCAGTTACCGAATCAATTCGATCCTGATATTGTCCTGTCACAAGTGAGATCTTTGGCAGTGGTTCAGACAGCGCACATCAGAAATCTTGGGTATCCTGTGTGGCTCTCATTTGATGCATTCATGGAAAGGTTTGGTCCGTTAGAAGTACTACCTAGTAGAAAACAAAAGTGTTTTACTCTGAAATTAGACTTTTATAATCTAGGCCTCGTTCACACGGAGAAAAAAATCTCCGTTTTCAAAACTATCCGGATATCTCTTTATCTCCCTTTTTGTTTCTCTTTTTAAATAATTCCAATTTGGTTGTAGTGCGAGAAGCAAAATCAGAGAGTATTTAAAACAATATTTTCCGAACCACTGGTCGAATTTCATAAGTGGTTTCTCTCTTCCAGCATTTACGCCTGGGTGTGAATGCTGATTATCTTGCAAGACTTTGAATCAGTTTTAAGTGTAGCCATTGCGAGGATGGAAAAGCCGTATGTTCTTTTTATTTTGCTTTGATTGTAAGGATTTTCTTTTCGATTCACAGGTTTGGTATTGTTGTGGGTTTGCGTCCCAACGTTCCAATCAAAGACAAGAAGCAAACTTGTCAAAAGATGCTTCGTCAGCTAGCTGAACCTAAAGGCTGGATAATAGGAAAAACCAAGGTAGCGTCTGATTCTTGGGAAAGTTAACAACTTTTTGAGACACAAAAAGATTTTTTAGCGTTAGAGAACGGTCAGTGCTTTACTGGAAAATGAACACACACGCGCGCTGGCATTTCAGTGAACGAGATTCACAATAATCCCATGTAAAATCCGTATGCAAATGTGGCATTTACTATTCTTGCCCCAGATTTATTCCTTATGCAGTTTTCACATTTTTGCGACATATTTGCCGTTAGCAAATTGGGGCAAATCCATTTTTTTTCGTCCAGTGATAATATATCTGTAGAACTCGTTAAGGGGTCGCGGAGCGGAAGAAAATCCATTAACGCGTGTAAATCGTGCGTTATACGCCATTAACGCACTCTAATCAGCCAATCAGCTTCCAGACGTTCGTGCTGAGGACGATGTATAAACTGGATACAACTTGGTCGCAGCCGTGGATTAATAATTTAGTGCAATGACTGTTTGATTAGTTGTGAACATGTTCTTCTTATCACAGGTTTTTCTGACCTACTGGTGTCTGGATCGATTATACACAATTCTCGATCTGAAGGCAGCAAAGGCTGTCGTTATACAGAAAGGTAGGAATATTATAACTGGTGTACTGAAACAGAGAAGTCTGTACTATGCCAGGATTATTCCTTGTTTCCTCTGAGAGTTCCTACTTGTCTGTGTTACCTTTTAATTGGATTGGTGGGGGAGGGGGCCGGAGGCATACCGTACTATTGTTCTTGCGGTTGTTTTCTTCCATGCAATAGGTTCAATCCAGCGGCTTCGTGTCTTCTGTCGCCTTTTTATCTTCCTTATGTCGCTGTATCATCACCATGTCGCTTGTCGTAATTAGCTCTGATAATTACCATGGGATCAGTAAGCGGATCATTCGGGGCGCGGAATTTCCCAGGAGGGAAGGGCATACCTAAATGTCCTCCGGAGATTTCGATTAATTCGCACGCCATCAATAATCTAAGATGGTTGTTCTTCGATACCGGAGCTGCACGCTCAACGATGTTTAGCCGTATAGAAAGAAGAATTGTTCACACTGACAGTCTAGTTTTGAAAAAGTTCTCAGTACATGTAACTTTTTTTTTCTGTCGGGTACTAAAAGTTAACGTTTTGCTTTCAGTAAGTATAAAAAGAGAAATTGTTCACATGCAGTCTAGGTTTGAAAAAGTTTCCAATAACTTTTTAAATTTTTCTTCTGTCGAATACTAAAAGTTAACCTTTTGCTGTCAGTATCGCCGACTCACACTGTTTGCATTTGTCTTTATTGATAAGAAACATACCCTCTTGGCTTACTTAAGTTTAGAAAAAAAATAATCGATAAACAAACCTTGTTTATCGATTATCGGCGTATTCTGGTGACCTACCGATTCCGTTCTTGGCTTTAGATTCGACGCGTTTGAATTACCTGATCTCCTCGCTAATGAGAAATAATTGCGTCCTTTTGCTGGGCATTTTTTTTTCTTTTTTTGATAGCTCATACGTCAGTATTCTGTCGTATGTGTTTTTGTACGTTCTCTATATTTTGTATGTGTTTCAGAGTGACGGACTGATGAAAAAAAAAAAAAACGATGAGGAGAGACTCAGTAATATGCACAGCTTTCACGTTTTCAGCCGCCATTTTGTTACTTTCATCTTTTTCACGTACAGCAGTAGCGAATATCTGGACAATTTTAGACAACAAACAAGTCTGAAACTAGGGTTGAAATGCACAGTTACACGACTGAGGCATTCAAAATAGCTCACCAACATGATACGTTAACGTGCCCATGTTTTATTTGCAGTTTTCAGAGGCTGGCAGGCGCGAAAACATTTTATCAGGCTCAGGAATCTCAAAGGTGCACAAGAAATTGCCGTCAGAGGTTTTCTTGATTCGGTATGTCTGTTGTTCTTTATGATGAATTCGTGATTAATTGTTTAAAACAAGCGCAGATCGGCTTTGAGGGATATTTGGGGAAATTTAGCTTACACGAGTCATGCTTTTCGCGAGAATAAAACCTGTAGTAACGCCTTGCTCCTCATCATCCCCTGTTTGTTAGTGATAATTTTTTTATGAAGTTAACAGTTGATTTTAATCATGTTCTAGATTGCGAAACAAAGTGAGCTGTTGTCGCAACATATTTCTAACCAAGTAATGGAAGAAACCGCCAGACAAAAGAGAAAAAAAAGCGAGGTAAAACCCCACACCTTCTCCTTACGGTTCTGGGTCAATGCTGTCGGTACTGTTGCGATGTCAATTTCAAGTCGTTTGCTTGTCACAAATCAACATTGGTAAAGATCGATGCTTTTGTCTCACTACTTTAAAATGCTTCACCCTGTAACAAGTCGAGAGTTAGAGATTTGATACGGCTTCTGGCTCAGTATGGGCGCATTCCAACAGCCAGGCCTGGCCAGCCGGACCATGGCCGGACCAGTCATTTTGACATTGAAATAGGCTTTCAAAAACCATGTCTTTCGTACATACTATTTAGGATTTAACTGATGTGGCTGGATAGTTTTGATTTAAAGTAACATTTTTCATTATGACTGGAATCGTCTGGCCGCTCAGTTCTGACAAATCGAAAGCCCCCATAGACAGAGCGGATGCTTTTCAGTTGAGGGGCCAAACAATGTTCTAGACTGACCCAGCTGTTCGGTTGCAAACGTCTTTGTTGACTGGGGCGGAACCCCGATGTTACGAAGGGTGAAGTGAATTATATTTCGTTGTAATGGGGATATGTTTCGTTTTCATGTTCACAGACCCAAAGCCCGTCGTCCCCCTCTTCGCACCAGACAGGTTTGTATATCTAACATATTTTGCTCAGGCTTATTCAACAACTGCAAATAACTTTTCTTTCTTGAAAGGATCACTTAGTCCGGCTAAGTGACCATTTTGGTCAGACAAAGTTGCAAAAGCATGGTCAGACTCAATCAAAGACACATTAAGTGTCTCTAGTTCAAACATTTTGCATTGCTGTTGGCGCGGGCTTCGCTTCCCAGACGGAGGAGGCCTTGGAACCAAGCACGATCGCCCAGATGTATTCTTCGTATTCTCCCAGCTATCTTCTGCCATTCCCATATTATAAGCTCAAAGGGTGACTTCCCATCTGAACTCGCTGAGGACGACTGGGAACGAGCCTCACGGCTGCATGACCTCATAAAAATACGAAATAAAGGCTCAAGAAAGATACAAAAGGGAAAATGACGATATTGAAATTAAGTGTAATTGTAACTTTTCTATTGTATTACATAAATTTCCCATAAATGAGGACCCTTTTGCTAATAATTTCTCTTTGTGTTTCCTGTTGACACAGCTTTTGACTTTAGGGATACCCCAGACGGGTTTCCTTCGTTATCCCCGCGCAGCAAGTCCCCTCAGAAGAGAATTTCAGACCTATCAGTGAGTTCTCTCTCAGACCCATTCAGCCCGGATACCCCGGCGTCCCGACCCGGCCCCCCACAGTCAAGAATGTCTGATTTGTCCATGATGTCTATCTCGTCTGTTAGTTCGGCGTTTTCAGTGGTAAGTTCATGTGTAATACTGGCGTTCCCGGGGATGCGCGAACTTGTTCGTTGCTTAGTCGTAGTGTTGCTCAGTTTGACGCCTCTTATTTCCGGTTTTTCCCCATTTTTCGGTGAATTTAACATCGACTTTTACTCTAAAATCTCACAAAAAACTGAGTGTTCTTGACAAAGCCGATTGAATATTGCCGCTAAGCATTTCCCTTCGAAATATTTCTTTTTTTACTTTACAAAAATCTTACAGCTCCAAAGCCCCCAGCAAGGAAGTATTTTAAGGGAATTTGAAATTTTGAAGGAATAAATTATGATTCATAGTTTAGTGCTAGTGTTCATCCGGTGTGTTCATTGTTTTCACTTTTGTGACCTGTTCACAGACCCCCTCAGTATTTTCTCTTTCGAGATCGTCGCGCGCCCGTATAAAAATAAAAACCGCGGGGAATTTAACGACCGCTATAAACGCAAGGGGTGGGGGTTGGAAAAAGAGGACTGAAATTGACGGTCTGTGGACATCATTGAAAGCAACTTGAATTTGTTTCTTTTTTCTTTTCTCCCGCTCTTGCCCAAGAAAAAGAACACGTCTGTGGACAGGCTATCACTTCTTAACATTGTTTCACTTTATTTAGGAATCTGATGAGTTTGAGACAGCTGCACCTCACGTCTGGTGTCGAATATTTTGCTTTGAACGAGAACATCAGAGAGCAGAGTTTTCTGTTGATCGCCCTTCAATCATCATTGATGGATCAAACAACTCCTTTGATGTGACAAGGTACTATAAATTGGCGATCTGAGACCAGAAAAAGCTAGCAATTCTTTTCCAAGTCAGTGACAATTCAATGATTTGTTGTGTTAGACAAAAGAATATCACAAGCGCCACTTGCACTTTCTTCGTATGAAATCACTATATTACAGTTATTTATTGCAGTTTATTGACGCTTCCAGTAGCTTAAAAATGCCGTTGTAACACATTTAGATAAGGTTGCCACGGTCAGAGAAAAGTCAGGGAATTTTTTAAAAAGTTAGGGAAAATCTTTGATATTTTCAAGGTCAGTGAAAAGTGAGGGAATTCTGTTTGCCGGTTTATAATTCATAAGTTTTCTTCAAGACTTTGAAAAGCATTTTCTTTCGGAAAAGATGAAAAGTATGCTGCAAAGCAAGCGAAGCGATCAATTTGACATTCTACGCCTGACACATGTGGTAGTTGTGGTCAGTAGTCTTCGTTGTGAATGCTTTCTTCCAAATTCCTTCTTCCTCTTTCGGCGAAAAGCTTAAAGAGGTTGAAAACTGAAGGGAAATATGCAGATGGTCTGCAAAAAAAGATAAAGCGAATGTAAACATCGATTGTTTCTCATTAATAAAAGGTCAGTGAAAATTGTTTAGTCAGGGAAAAGTCACGGAATTTTTAACTTTCTGATGAGTGGCAATCCTAGCTCCCCAAGAATATCTTTTAAACTCGCCTCTTGCATTTAAGCAGACCCTTCGTTAATGAGGGTTCGCCTTCCCTCCTTTCGCATCCCCGAAACAAGAGTAGGTTACTTATATTTTAAGTGCAAGCCAACTGTAGTTGCTTTATGATGTATTCGCGAACGTTTACGGAACGGGAACTCCCTGTTGGAGCGGCGGACCAGCAATTTATCCCTGAATTTTCAACTTGTGTTATGGATATGATGTTACGCTTCATGACGGTAGCTTCAAGTTGATAAGTTTCCTTATCCGGCTTATTAAGAGTCTGTTGAAGATTTGCTACGGGGAAAAAATCCTTATGATTAATGATTCCCTCTTTACAGAATCGGTCTGGGAGCTCTGCCGCCAAGTTCTGACTCAAAAGTTACAAAGGTGCGAGGATGCGTTGGAAAGGTAAAAACTTCCCCTTCTTGTTATTGCTGAATGAGTGGGTAAAAATCTAAACCTAACGAAACATAAACAAAAAGAAGCACTTAATTCGAAGTGAAGTGAAGTTTCACACAAGGATATGTCACTTTAGGAACTATCAGACACCGACGCATAGCATGATTAACTCACACAGAATCTCTTTAAGCGACATATATTCTTTTGTTGATGGAAAAAACGATTCTTGGTTTTGTTATCCGCAGGGTGTGGAGATTGTTAATGATGACGAAGGAAATGTTTGGGCAACTCGAGGAAGTAAAAATGCTATCTTTGTTAAGGTAGGCTACCTGTACTTACTTCCCGTTGTGCTAGCTGTGGTGTGTTTTAAACTTATTTCAACGTTTCAGTTCTGTTTTTTTTTAAAATTTATTTGTAATTAATTTTTACTATTTCTTTTTTTTATTATTATTTTTTTACAAAAAAAGAGTTTATTCACTCATTTCACTAATTAACCAGCACTTATTGGCTTCTTGTAATACCTTAAATTAGTAATTTTTGCCACCATGCTTATACTTCTGGGCAGCGAAAAGTTTCCTTTTAAATGGGAGTGGCCCAAGTACCGCTGAGTTTGTACGTGCGTGTATATAGAGACTGGGTTCTTACAGAGTCTTGAATTCTTGAAAAAGTCTTGAAATTTTCCCAGCAATTTTCCAGACCTGAAAAAAGTCTGGAAAATAAAGATAAGGTGTGGAAAAATGGTAAAAATTCTTGAGTTTTTTTTTTCAAAGCTACAGCAAGTGCTTTATAAGTGAATTCTTTTTTTTTTTCGTTTTGGTCGAATCTTACTCAACCTCGCCCGTGCGTTTGCATTGCGTCATGAAAAAAAGCTTTGTTCCTGCGTTTTTTAAGGTCTCTATAAATCACCTATTTCATAACCTCGAGTCTGGAAAAAGAAATTATTCTTCTGGAAAAAGTCTGGAAAAAGTCTTGCTTTTTGGATTCAAAAATCTGTACGAGCCTTGAAAGAGTACTGGTCACAGTGACTAGTGTACTACCTAGATAGGTGATATGTGTTAGTATCTATACCTGGGAGAGCACAACTAGCTGATCGAAAATCATGAGTAAGCAGATGCTCTTTGTGATAAATTAGCGGATAATAATGCGCTTCCGGAAGACTGCCCACCTACCCCTCCCCTAAGCCAACATTTTGCCCTGGAATGCGGCGTTTCTGATGGAAAGGGGAAAAGAGAAGCAGAAAGGGGAAACAGTAAAGATCTCCCTTCCCCCCTCCCCCCTGCCCTCTAAAATTTGTTCTCTCCTAACCCTTAAGGAAGGCCTGATATTCAGCCTATTGATGAATAAGTTTCGTTTCCAGGGGCAAGCGGGGCCTACACCATTAATACATAGATACTGTAAAGAAGATTTGCAACTAGACGAGGCAAAATTAATAACTGCTCAATACATGTAGGTTACAAGGACCATGAAACTATGACCATGATTAAAGCCGTTTCATTTAATTTTTGTCAGGGTCATTTCTTATCCAACGAAGTGGTTGCTTTAAAAGGTGCATTAGAAAAAGATGCTGCAATGAAGGTTGGTTGAAATAGCTATCATATTCCACACATTTTCAAGAGATATTTAGGCTCTATTTTTGTTACAAGCAAACGAAAAGTTGGTGTCAAGAGGAAAGAAAAAGGCTGCGACGGATATATTCTAGTGTGCCGTTTTTTCTGCCTTAAACAATAGGTTTATAATGGCTGAATGGAAAATGTTCATGGTTTTGCGAAAGACAAGATATCGCGAAAAGTAAAGAAAACAACAACATGACAAAAACTACAAAGAACTGAAACAAATTGGTCTTGCGATTGCACCATGGTCTTAAGACGAAGCAAGTCACGACATTGATGCTAGAGGGGCTGGTGTTCTTAGACGTTCCTCCATTGAAGACAAGGATGTCTGTTTTGTATGTGTTTCCCTCCTTTAAGGGGGGGGGGGAAGGATTGTGCGGGGGTGCTGGGTTGCATAGTCGTCTACTAAAAATTAAGGGCAAACATATTTAGTGTCGTTATTTCTGTCGTAGGTGTTTGACTGGGAATCATTCGCGGATTCTGTTCGGTATCACTGCCTCCATTCTAAGAATTTTGACCACAAGATAGAGAAATTGGTCTTGTCAAACGCCTCCATCTTTTTCAGCTTTGTTAAAGATGGTAAAGATGATGTTAACACGCCATGTTGGGTTCAACTCGATGTTCTGGAAGCTTTTCACCAAGCACAAGGTACTGTAAGCCGTTCCGACTGCATTCTTTCATATTCTCGCAAAGTAGAAGCTGTTTTCATTGGTGGTCTATTTAAGTTGCTCAGTGAGCCAGCCTTTGTTGTACGCTTTAAGGTTGCGCGCGGGACTGGGTCCGTGTGGTGTCTAAGTGCATTATGGGACTGTTATAGCGGACTAATTTTTACCCAATTTCTTGCCAAACAAAGAAGAGCTACAATAGGGCCTTTTATACGAGGAAAAGTAAGACGCGTCTTACATAGGACGCGTCTTAAATAAGACGCGAACTTTTCGCATAAACGGCACATTTCGTCTAAAATAAGACGCGGCCTAGCTAAGACGCGTCCTATTTTAGAACAGCCCTTAACACCTGTTCTAAGATAAGACGCGTCTTAGCTAACACGAGAAAAACTTCGTATAAATGACCTTCGCGTCTTACATAAGACACGAACGCATGGTGCGCATGCGTTAATTTTTGGCGCGCCAGGTTGGATTGCCGTCGCTACAGGCAACATTAACATGAAAACGAGTCAAGAACAGAACTAAGACGCGAACCATTTGTACGAGCTGTTCTCGTCTTAGATAAGACATACTCGTATAAATGGTACAGTTCGCGTCTTATTTTTCCTCGTATAAAAGGCCCTAATGTCCTCTTAAACATTTCCACTATGCAATAGCCCACGTTCGATATATCAAAATTCTAACATGACTCCGTCGTTTTACTATATTAGGTTTGGTTTTCTTTGTGCTCAATTCTCTTTTGGGAATTGCGAGACAATGCAGTCGTGGAAAATTTGAAATTTTGACCCTAGAGCCTCGGAGTCGTGTTAGAATTTTCAGTATCGAACGTGGGCTAACAACAGCAACCCATCCTCACGCGCTATAGGCAAATTTCGAATTTCTCCAATTCATACTTGGCTCCGAGGCTGTGAGGAATAAAACAAAAGAAATGGATTATTTATACCCCTAAAAATCAATGTGATTTCTCTTGTTTTTTACCCCTATCCCTCGGAGCCAAGTACGAACTTTAAGAATTTTAAATTGGCCTGTTTCAAAATGGCCATGTTAATATGTCTTATAAAGTTCTGATTCCATAACAAAAGCTTTTGCCCGCTGAGTTTAGGACCTAAATGACTTTTAACAATTACTCTGTTGAAGGTTCATTTCATGTTAATTGAACTTGCCCAATTATTTTCTAAGCACCGTTTTTTTTTTTTTTTTTTTTTGGGGGGGGTCAAGAATCACTAAACCGGCCTTTTTGTTGGCTAAGAAAGATATGAAAAGTTTGGCAACGCGCTCGTAAAAAAGCTCTGTATGGTTGGGCAAAGCGGATATTCATTAATCATGCTATAAAATGATACAAAGTTACTATATTAAAAAAAATCTTGTGGGCTTCACGAGTAATTAGAAATTCAGAAATCGATGAGATATCGGCTGGAACATTTATAGTGTAGTGATATATGCCTGTTTTTTGCTTAGAAGGGAAGGTTTTATACAATAACTGAAAGCATGAATTTAGTGAACATTCAGTAAACATGCAGTATTGATAGGAAGTTAGTATTAGGAAACAAAATCAGTGCTCTAATCTGTAGAAAGGCTTTACTGGCTTTCTGTAATAACGTGCAGGCATCTTCCTCTTTTTACCTTTTCAAACAGCTGCTTGTAAATATGCTCGCGACAAACGGAAACAAGAGAAGCAACAAGCGATCAACGCGCTGCCGCCAATTCTTCGCCCAAAGACGAAAAAATCCAGGGAGCTGGCCGGCGTGTCACGCTTTCAGCAAAAAGTTCGACCACGACGCTACATCGAAACGTTCCGGTTTAACCGGAAGAAATGGGCCCGGAAGGAAGTTGCTCTGAACCCCTTTTTATATGGCAGTACAGATATATCTCAAATACAGCGCCAGACTTCCGTGAATACGTCACCAAGGAAGAGCACCAGTGACCCGGAAGAAGCTCTCGGTGGTGCCTCCCCCGTCCCCAAGTCTTTGTCGAATGTATTCGGCAATAGCACTGATGTTATGGACGGAGGGGCAGGGCAGAGTCCTTCTATGAACGGCAGTTTTGTTGTCAGCGATCAGGAAATTTCATCCCCCAGGAACGGCTTTCACCATCAGAATGGATTGGCGTCGTCGTCCATTGTGGAGAAGCCGGACAAGAAAGTCTGGGCAAAGCAAAAAGTCGCTGATAACAAAACTAGAAAAGGAAAAAAACGATCTTGACTGCCAGTTAAATATAGAAACCGATAAAATTAGTTTTATGATTATTTAACTCGTTTATTTTTAGCATTACAGGCGCCCTTCGCAGAAATCCTACGTGAGGAGTATATGTTTATGATGATTTTATCGTTTTTGCCAAGCCATGAGAATCAAGCTATAAACAAAGTCTTAAATGTAACCATTCAGAGCCCTGGTGTACTGTGGTACTGATTATATATATATATTATACTGCACAAGGTGGTCTTTTTGGTTGTAGTATCCAAAATTTATTTACGAAAAATTGGATAGTATTTATCTAGCAAACCGCACCAAGAGAGGGCTCTTGACCGCATTTGATATGTACAGTTTGGTGAAGTTACCGTAAAATTCCAAAAATAAGCCCCGGGGGTTATATTTTTCAAAGGCCCTTTTTGAGGGGCTTATTTTTGGAGGGGCTTATCTACGGAGGGAAATTTGCGTTTCAAAATCGATATGATTGGGCTAGCCTTATAAATGGAGGGAAATTTACCGTTTTTGCTTTGTTTTACTTTGTATTTGCGGGCAATTTCCAAATACAACCCCCCCCCCCCGGGGGGGCTTATATTTGGAGGGGCCATTTAACGGAGGGTTTTTGCGTTAGGGGTTTGGGGGGCTTATATTTGGAGGGGCTTATACATGGAGGGGCTTATTTTCGGAATTTTACGGTATTAGTGAGCGTAAGCAAAAGACGTTTTTGAGCGACGCCCGTCAATCCGAAGTGGTCTTTTTTCATTTTTGGACGGTGGTTTTGCCCCAATTTTTGGACAAATCGTCTCTATAGCTAGCGGTAAAGACACTTAGAAATAAAAGTTTGGTAGCGTCAAGGTGCTTTGAAGTGAAAGAAGACCTCAATTCCGGTTGACGTCCCTATTACTTTGCTTTTACTTGATAATAGACTGTTCATAATGCCCTATTTTTCTGTAAGGTCATGAAGGTTCGGGCTATGCCATCTTTGTTTCAAATGTACTGAGTCTAGCCTGGCATGGGCGTGGGATGAAGAAACGTACCTATCGGGGGGCGGTTGAAACCAATATGGCCGTCCGCAATGTCTCGGTAATCTTATTTTAGGGAATAATGGGGCACTGTGAACAGTCAATTTGTTAATACTCTCGACTTTTCTAACGCGAGCTCCAACTTGTTAGCGTCTAAGAGTGACCATTCCAGTTGAATATCGGTAACTTTTCGGGCCCAAAGACAAATATTCAAATCAAAATTTACAGAATAAAAAAGCGGATACCAGCTAAAAAACCAACCCTTTTTGTTTTTCAAACTGATAGTTTTGTTATATTATCTTTAACACTTTTCAAACCTCGAACTTGAATGTAATCAACAGCTTTCCAAGCCCGTTCGGGACTTTCGAAAAAACGATTGAGCAGTGTTTTCGAATTCCCACGATACTCTTACACGCTGCACAAGTTTTTCTAAACCTTAAGTTTGTGGATGACATCCTTGTGTGTGACCATTCAAATGAGAGCTACTGAGCAGTACCTTCCTTTGGTGTTGTTCATCTTACCACAAGGTAGTTCTAACTTTTGAGTCTGTGGATAAAATCCTAAAGTGTAAGCATTCAAGTGAAATCTCGTTTAGCGGTACTTTCCTGCTGTATTGTTTTGGTGATTACTCTGGAGTCTGTGGATGGAATCCTCTGCGTACTTTTTATTTTATTGTAAATAATAAAAATTTCTATTTTGCTTAGAGGGTTAGTGTAAAATAGAATGTAGCTTGTTCCAGGCTCCGAGATAGTCGGGTCCGCGAAATTGAGAAAGCGCGCGTTCCTTTTACTTACGCGTCATCCCTACTATATCTGAGAGCCTGAAACAGGCTAAGCAGATCGAATGGAGATGATATAGTTATAAATAATAGATTAAGTGCATATATAACTATATAGACTACACTACTAATGAAACGATCCAGGACGTAATTATAAACGCGGAGCCATGAAAGAAAGTTGCCCAGGTTTGCGCTTCGTTTTTCAGAACTCATCGAGACCAAAAAGTTGACTCTGGGGCGCGAATTGTGTAATTACGTTTCATTATACATAAACATTTCGCGCGCAACTCAGTAATAATCACTCAGGGGCAAGCAGGGTGGAAACAAGCATGGTGAGCCTTCTGCTAAGTTTAAAAGTACTCTTGGAGTCAGATCATTATTTTTTACTGCAAGTTCTCCTAAGATAAGGAGCGTTTTGCCGGACAATATAGCCAAGAGAAGAATTTCGATAAGTTTAAGAAACTCGTTAAGACTTACTATTTCAGAGAAGCCTTCAGTGACTTGGTTTAAGTCATCAGAGATTCTTTTATTTTATATATTATTTACCAGTAACGCCTACCCTTCGAAGCCGACGAATGATGGCGTGGGGTCAGCTAAATATTACAGACTGAAAGTTCTGGTCGCCATGTTGGATGACCGCTGACCCCTCTTCTAAGTTTATTTTCTTTTTTATCTCTTGCTTGTTCTTAGCCATGCTAAATTGTTTGTAACAAACGTAGCAAATGACTGTAAATAGTATAGTACGTACAGTAGGTAGCATAACTTTTGTCCTGTATAAGTCTCATTGTTGTTTATGCGCATTTGATCATATATCAATGTTAAAATGCACTATAGAAGTATTAAATATAATTGTTATTATCTTTTTATTGCATTTTTTCAATGTCCTGTACATGGCTTTCGTCAAATGTGCCGAAAGAATTCTGGGCCCTGTTCCTCAGTCCGAAGGCTGATTAGCTATAGCGTTAGTCCAGGATCAAGCGGAGAGTTTTGAACAAACGTTTCTCCTGTAGAAACAATTGACTGACAGTCTTGGACAAAAATGTTCACAAAAACTTTTCATGATGGATGTGGCTATGCCTAGTTTCAAGAAATTGCTCTTGAAATTAAAGCATTGGCAACTACTAATACTCCCCCCCTCCATCACGCCCCCCAAAAAACAACGTTGAAGTGCATGACTGAAGTCTGGCTGGATAGTTTCTGGTCCCGACTGAACAACATTGACCATGGTGGTGCGAGGGGAGAGGCCAAAGCGGTAACAAATTCGCGGAAGAGGCATTAATTCTATGGGTAGGAAAGTGCTCGATTCTTAACCTGTTCTGTCCAAGATTGTAGGTTTCATAAAGTATTCTTTACTGTTTCTCAAGAGTCTAGTTAAAATGTTTTTTTTTTAGTTTGATTACAATGTTTAGTTTATTGAAGTTTAGTTCGCATTAGGATCATTCCACCCTGTACATAAGCCCTCAGGCTTGTGAATATCATTCCACTTGACGCCGACCAGTTTACTCGAGGCTGCTTTTTTCGTCCGCTTTATATGAGCTACCTACGTTTCTACTTGTACTTTTGCAGACTCCGTTTACCTTGTAATTTTTGTAGTCAGCATATCTTCTTATCTTCTTGACGTTAGGTTTTAACTTACAGTGGCCTTTCTTAGGTCCTACGGGTTTTTCATCCTTATCCGGGGAGACCAGAAAGTCTAACCCTTGGCAGATGTGATTACAAAGTAGGCTGGCACTCTCTTCTCAGTTATTCTTAACCAAGCGGCGGTTATCGTTGTATTTTTGTTTTGTCTACAGAAATATTTTCTATTCGGCTGCTGAGCTAGCGATAGAGAGTAGAATTACGGGTTTAAATTTAACCTTATTTGGGTTAATGCTAATAATCTCGAGGTACTATATATTTTGGGCCCTGAATAATGCATTCTTTCCAAGCGAATTGAAGATAAAAATAATAATAATAACAAACGGGGGAAAAATAGATAAATAAATAAATAAATAAAGACAGAATGACGATTACGAGGTAGCACGACTACATAGTGGTTTTTCGACTACCTTTCCTGATGGAATTGGAATTTGGGAATGGTGTTTTTGAGCAGAGGTGGGTAGTCGTAAGGTGGATGGCCGGGGCAGGGGTACTCTCACCGTCCCACCCCTCCCCCTGGAGGACGGTCAGGTATACAGGTATAAAGTTGAAAACGTTTCAGTTAAGAAGACTTTTGCAGGGACTGATCAAACAACGTGAAATAGAGTAATGTTGCGATATTTTGACTGGCCAATACCAGTCTTTATCAGGTATAAAGTGTTCTCAGAATCATATGAATTTCTGGTGTCCTATTCAGTAAACAGCCGCTATGAACCGAAGCCAACTTCAAAGGAGGCAATAATTACATTATTCGAAGTGCAAGAGTTTTTTTGCTTTCCAACAAAGTCTTCCCTTTTCCTAGTCACACTCTTTCTTTCGTGACACTTTTTCGCGCCATGTTTGGCCAAAGGGTATTGGCGGGAGTGTGCATGCGTGTAAACAGCGTCACGTGATCTTGGCTAACATGGCGGCATGTGGAAAACGAGTGATTTCAATAACATGTCTGGATGATGCAAAGTTTTATGCTCTCTACTTCTCGAGGTCGAATTACTTGCTACTTATATGAAGAGTATTTTATGTAATACTCTCTTTATGCCAACGATACCTTTGGGCGCGTGGATAGAGAGAACTTTGAGAAAGCGTGGGAGATCTATTAAGCGTCTGTTGTGGAATTGGATACCAATTGCACGATCTGTTTTAAACTCGAGGACGTTGCGTAAAGGAACTGTTTCGTATGAAGACCAAAGTTTCATCTGATAACAACGGGGAAGGCGTCCCTCCGCAAACTACTGTTGTGACAACGACTGTTGGACAATCCAGTGTGTGGTCGATATGTGATATATCTACAGATTCTCATGTCGAGCTGCGAGACATTACACCGTCTATCAGTCCTGTGTTTACTGACGATCAAGTTCACGAATTAACGCAAAACTCTTCAGAGGTCGATGTTCTAGGCGAACATTTTCTCCCTCCTGAAGCTATCAAGCAGATCGACGAAGTCCTGAGCTCCCAGGCGCAGGGAAACTTGCTTTACAGTGATCCAGTTCTTGGTAATGCACTTAAACAAAACCACGATGTCCTTTTGCCAGGTGATCTTGGCTTTCATGGGACCATGTTTCCATCATTCGATTCTATTGTAGAAGCAGATCGAATTCTAAACAAAAGGGATGAGTCAGCTGATGCAATAAGCAGTGAAGGGAATGGTACTGCAGCTGATGAAACAAGCTCAGCAGCTTGGTCAAAAGATGGCACAGCAGTGAGCACACCAGGAGGTGAGAGTGGGACAGATGGAGGTGACAGTTCTGGGACTGAGAAGGGGCCACGACGTTCCATGCGCAATCGTGTGCAAGTTAAGAAAGATTCTGAGACACTAAAAACTGCATTGCCAGCTTCTAAACCTGTATCAAGAGGTAAAGATATTTCAAAGTTGAAGTATGCAAATAACAAAGAAGAGGCTCCGAAAAAGGAGGTAAGAAGGAGTGGGCGAATGCAAAAAAAAGGTGACAAAGGGGAAAACAGTGCAGATACTCAGGAAAAGGAATCAAACGTGAACAGCGAAAAGGAAAACATTACCAACGATAAAGATGCTGATAAGGAATCACTAGAACAGCAGGATTCTGCATCCAAGAATGTGAGGAGGTTAGTAAACTAAAACGTGCTTTACATTGTAGCTGGTGAGCATAGAACATTAAAAGAAAATGTTTATTTTGCACTTCTGAGGCCCGGCCCCAGTTTTTCAATTGGTGGATAATGCTGTCCATTGCACCACTATCCAGTGGATGGCACAACATTGATTCTCCATCCCTTATCAACTGGATTGTAGTATCCTACTTATGAACAATCATAATACAGTCAAACCCTTCTTTGTGGACCCCCGTTTAATACGGAGCTCTTTATTACGGACAGATTGCTTCGTCCCTGGAGAAAAAAAGCCCTTACATGTTCTTTAAATTCAACCTGCTTAATACAGACACCTTGTTACTGTAAAATTCCAAAAATAAGCCCCGGGGCTTATATTTTTCAAAGGCTTATCTTGAGGGGCTTATTTTTGGAGGGGCTTATCTACAGAGGGAAATTTGCTTTTCAATTTCGATTGGGCTAGCCTTACAGTTGGAAGTAAATTTATCGTTTTTGCTTTGTTGTACTTTGTATTTGAGAGCTATTTTTCAAGTACAAGCCCCCGGGGGGCTTATATTAATTTTGGAGGGGTGATTTAACGAAGGGTTTTCTGTGTTAGTGGTTTGGAGGGCTTATATTTGGAGGCGCTTATACATGGAGGGGCTTATACATGGAGGGGCTTATTTTCAGAATTTTATGGTAATTTGGACACTTTCTGTGGTTCCCTCAGTGTCCGTATACATTAAAATGGTTTGACTGTTGTTATTATTGGAACTTGGTTTACAAAATGTGGACAGTTCAGTCCATCAGATTACAGTAGTTCATTTTGAATGGATAAGCAGCTATGGTTTTACTGTAGATTGAGAATCCACTGGAGATTGTTATTGACCCTTTGAACAATGCGGGGCTCAAAATAATTTTCATGCACTGGCCAAACACGATGACTGGCCAAAGAAATGTTTGCTCTGTCAAATCTTTTTTCTGACTGGTCAAAATATTGAAAAAATAGTTAACTAATGACAGCTTGTAAACTTAAAAGTGCCATTTGCTTGTTCAAGTTGTTGCTAGACTGATTGAAAAGTGGCTTCATGGAGAAAACTGCTTAAAACTTAACCAAAGATGGCCTAAGATTTACGGTTGAGGATTTGACTGTTTGTTCAAGAACAGGAGTGTGTGTGTGTGACTGTTCAACATGACCGGTACAGCTGTAAGTTAAGTTTTGGCCGACATCAATGTAAAGAAAACTTTTAACTGCAAAATTTAAGCCACAGTGGCCATGCCATGGAAGTAAGGGCTGGCAACTCAGGGCAACTGGGTCAATTGCAGTGTTAAGTGAAATGATTGTTTGTTTTCAAGTTAATTTAAGTTTGTTTGGTTGTTACTTGTAGGTCACCAAGGACTCAAAAGAAGTCACCAGTGGAAGAAAAAAAGAACACATCAAGAAAACAAGATGATAAAAAGGAGGCCAACATTTCAAGTGATGGTAAAGAATCTTGTGAAGAAAAGGCTAGTGATAAAGAAATTAAATCCAAAGGAACAAAGTCCAAGGGAAGTGAAAAAACAAATAAAAAAGGAAGTAATGATGAGGATGTCACCGGGAGTGATAAAGATGAGAAGAAAGGAGTAAGAAAAAGTGGACGCACAGCAAGACAAAAAAAGGAAGAGGAAGAGAAAAAAGTGGATAATGAAAACAATAAAGAGGATGCAAAAAAAGGAAAGGGGAAAACAGAAGGGAAGAAAATTGAAGAGGCAAAAAATAAAGAAGATTCTGAGATAAAAGTTACGGAAAAGAATTTGAGTGAAAACGATGAGAGTAAGAAAGGCTCTAACAAGAGTGTGGCTGATGAAAAACCAGAGAAAAGTGAGAATCAACGTACACAAGGCAAGGAAGAGGATGGTAAAATGAAAGCTATAGGGAGGAAAAAGGTAGAATTAAAGACTGAAAGTTCTGAAGAAGAGAGTGTTGTGAAGACAAGAAGGGTAAGTAGAAGGAATGAGAGACTAGAGAGAAAAGATACAGAGGAAAATATTGCTGGTAAGTCTTCTAAAGAGGAAGCAAAATCAGCGGCATCGTTGAAGGAAAATGCGGTAGAAGATCAGGACACTATAAAACAAGAGGATAAAGCTGACAAGGAAGGGTCTGATGAGAAGGAAAATATCAAGAAACAGGTACAAGCAGAGGTTACTACTAGTGCTGTAAAAGATGAAAAAGCTAGCAAGGAATCCAAAAAAGTAGGGAAGAAAGTGAGTTTGGGAGATGTAGAACAAAGCAAGGAGGAAGAAGATGGTGATTCTGATGAGAATTCTGCGGATGATAATGAGGAGGTTAATGAAGACTCAGATTATGACCCTGAGTATGACCCTGATAGGTTGTGGTGTGTCTGTCGTAAACCCCATGGTAACAGGTATGGATACGAGCATAGGGAAGAGAAATGTGACCTCATGTTACCATGGTAGCAAAAAGTTTCTGGATCTCAGCAATCTTGACAGAGATAGCCATTGGCATTGTTGAATGATGGAAGGATAGTGTGGGCTATTGTTTTGTTGTGAGGCCAATGATGCACTGGAAAGGCATACATGTCAATTTTCTTTTACATTTTTTCTGCCATATTTGAAGGACCACAGTTTGTTGAGATCCAGAAATTTTGCTACCATACCAATGTGATGTAGTGACAGCTTTTCAAAAAGAGTCTCCAAAATGGAGTGTTACAATTTACCTACATGTAGATATCCTCAAAACTATTTCAGTGTCACCTTAAATCATTGTTCATCAGAGATTTTCTCCCATTATATGATGTAAATTTGTTTTAAGTTATAATGGCAAAATTATGTCTAGTACCAGAGGGTACAAAAATCTCTTGTAAAAGCTGAAAACACCAAACATTACTTTTTCGCAAATTGTTTGAGATAATGAGAATGAATTGTTATTATGATTTTTTTCATGATTTCTTTTTTTTTACTCTTTGAATAACAAAACATTACTTGCTATAGGAAAATGAAATAGCAACCAGTTAACTTATCCCATTAGTTAACATACAGCTTTAAGTGTAAGTGTCTTTAAGGAGGAAGTGTGGCTGAGCAGTTAGAATACTAGAATTGCAATCTGGAGGTCCTGCGTTCAACAAATCCACCCATAACCGCTAGCGGGATTTGTTCACAGTAGTATAAAGTTCAACTCTTTGGCCACAATGTAAACTTCTCATTCTGTGGGCCACAATGTAAACTATTGGGTTACCAGTCTTATTGTCCAACTGCTACAAAGTCCATTTTTTAATGGCTTTGTCTTTTTAGATTCATGATCTGTTGTGACCACTGTGAAGACTGGTTTCATGGCATGTGTGTTGGTATAACCATGGCTCAAGGGCGTCAAATGGAGAAGGATGGTCAGGAGTATGTGTGTCCTAAATGTCAAGGTGAGCTAGAGTTGTGGAGGGAGACATAAACACCCTTAAAGCTGGGGTACAGTTGGGGCTGGGGTAGGGTATTTCTGCTTAAAATGTTGCGATAGATTCATCTGTAGTCAGGCATTTGTACAGCCCTTGGAATCACAGTCGTGTACTGCCCAGCCTTTGGACAACCTGTGGATTTGTGTTGGTAATGAAAATTATTTGAAGTATAAAGTTCTGAATTAAATTTCTCATTACAAGCAAAGCCTACATTTAATAATATTGTCCGAACATTGTCTGTTAATTCAAGCCCTGAACCATAGTTATATTATTTTATTATATAGACACGAGTGTTTTACTGGAAAATATACCACTCGTAAAATTCATAAAAACTACATCCGGGACCCGAGTGGTTTATTTTCCATAATCTCACACGTGAGTTTATTGATGATGTAATTTTGGTAATTTCCCTCTGTTATTTTATCGATGTCTTTTTGTCTATATAATAAAAAGAACATTACACGGCAGCTTGAAGATATGAATTTTATTTTCTTGCGGCAAAACAATATTTTACGAACAAGCGCAGCGAGTGAGTAAAATATTGTTTTACCACTCGAAAATAAAATTCTTATCTTCGCGCCACCATGTAATATCCTCTGTGTATATTAACTGTTATTTTACTGTCTGTTCCACCTCTAAACACTCCAGCTAAAGTAGAGGAAGAAATGAAAGAGAAGAACAAGGAAACCAAACCCAAAACAGAAAATGTTGCAAAAGAAAAGGAGGAAACTTACAAACACAGCGAGGCAAAGGAGGGAAGAAAGTCTCCCACAAAACATGGTCATCACAAAAGAAAAGAGCACTCAGTGAAGATTAAGATTCCATTTGAGAAAGACGATACAAGAAAACGACGGCATTCCAGCCACAGAAGAAGTCAAGATGATGAGGTAAATGTTCAAAATTATTGTGCATTATCCAGGGGGAGGTGCAAAGGAGGTACTACCCACAGTGGAATTTACAAGGATGCTTCACCTGAAAGGGCAGGGCTCGAAATTAAAAAAATCCTTACGTCGCCTTTTGGCGACCAACTGGAGAAATATAGTCGCCAGATGCAAATTTTTAGTCGCAAGTTTGTATAATGTAAATGATGCAGCTCATAGTCAGGGCTGCTGATATTTCGCGCTGTCGAAGTGCCACGAATATCACCAAAACACGCAAAATACCATGAAATTTGGTAGAAATCTTGTCAAATACATGTCTGTACAACATATTTGAAACATTTCTCATTTATTGGGGCTATTTACTTTCCGTAAACTTGTAAATTTATCTTGAAACTTTATCACTGAAACGTGCAAACAACATTCCAAAACTACCGGGCATAGATTATGTTGCGAAAAACTGGGCACTAGCCATGATGTTAAAGGCTTTGCCATTGGTTCAGTTCTGGAGCGTATTGTTGTTGAAAGAGCAATGATGACCTCTGTTAGAAAAACATGAAAAATGCTGGTCTGGTTAGCGCAAAACCGATCGATCTCTAACAAAGTTTTTCCTGAAAATAACCACAAAATCAGCCTTTTTTGGCCGATTGATTTTTGGCTAAGTTTGCCTTGAAAATTCCTGCGAAATCGGTTGATTTTTCCATGAATTTGCCCCCCAAAATTCTGGGAAAGTTGACTTTTTTCTGCAACCTATCAGAAGCCCTTCATAGTATGGTGCGATCCATCAGATTTGAAAATATCGTGGATAGAAGTTGGTATAAATTTGGAGGTAAACTGGCTTTGTTTATGCGATTGGATACATTTTTGTAATGAAAGCAAAGCAGGATAAGATGAAATGTTTGTTTTAACTTTACTCTTTTAATTTAAATCTAAATCATAGAGAAATCTGGTGGCCACTTTGGCGACTAAACGAGGATCTTTAGTCGCCAAGGAGAAAATGTTAGTTGCATTGGCGACCGTATCAGTCGCAATTTCGAGCCCTGAAGGGGCACCCGTTTTTAGGCTAGAGGTGTTCAAAAGGGAACGGATTTTAAAAGTTGAGACCCAGAAAAGAGTAAGGAAAACTGCCAGTTGGTTACTGAAAAGGGGATTCAAAATAATTTATTTAGAAGAAAGTGACTTGTGAGGGTGTAACAGTTGATACCCTTTTAGTCTCAATAGTGACCAACATTGATTTTCCCCCAACAATATCAATACATGATAAAAAGAAACATTTATGTGAATTTAATGATCACCTACACTTTTAAGGAAAATGCTTTGGTCTGTGAACAAACACTCTCTACTAATTCTTTAGGGAAAAGTATGGAGACCTGTATAGAGAATTTGTATGTACTGTACGTTTTGGGGCTTGAAGGGTTTGAAGGTTTAAGAGACTATTATTTTAAAGAAAGTCACTCAGTTATTAGCCAAAGTACCCCGACCCATTCATGTGGCTGGTTGAAAAGGGTCTTTGTTGAGTCAAAAGTGGTGTGTAAAGTTATTTTTAGTGGCTAATAATGTTACTGCTCTACAGCTTTCTGGCAGCAAGAAGTCCAAAGAATCTGACCGAGAACATACAAGTGAAGAAAAGAAGAAAAAGCAACCTGAATCTAAAGGCTTTAGGATACCTAAAAAGGTTTGTTCGTGTGGTTACATGTATATCATTTATTTATTGTCATTATGAAATTGAAGGTAACAGGACTGCGTGGAATCCAGTTTGGTACGCGTGCAATCATTAACAAAGCTGGCTCCTGTTGTTCAAAAGGTGGATAGCGCTATCCACCGGTTAAAAATCTATCCAGTGGATAATGCAATTGGTCTCCCTAATACTTATCCGCTGGATAGTGATTTATCCGGTGGATAGCGCTATCCAACGTTTGAACAATCGGGGCCGGGAGTTTAATTTTTCTTAAAATTTAACAACTGTAGGGACACTTTTTGGAGTACAAATGGCTATAAAAGGGGGTAAAACATGATTGTACTATGCAAGTGTCTCCTTCAGTCTCTCTGGGTGAATTTCAAAATATTTATATTGTAATGCATCCCTTTACCGGTTGTAGAGGTAAATGTATAATGTTCACTTTGGGCGGGGCTCCCCAAAAAATCTTGAATTCTAGCTTGGCCATTGGACAAGCAGCTGTCACAGTTTGCAGGGAAGGGCCATTGCTTGCTTGGACTGATCCTTTGTCGATTGGACAAGTGAGCTTCGAAAGGGACTTGCTTGGCAAAGAAATCAACTTGTTCTGTTCTCAACTTGTTTTTTTTTTTTTAACTCTGT